TTACTATACAACAGTATGGAAATGGAAGCTGAAAAGTAACATTTACTGAATAAACAGTGAAAGTAAACACTAACTATGCCAGCACTGAGCTAACACTTCAAATAAAAAGTGAAAACGGCAAACTTCAACATTGGAAATATCGATAAAAAAAATGTTAGGCGCCCACTATAACATCGCAATAAATATTTTTATCACTTTGCGAAGTATAAAAACGTTATTTTCCTTGTAAAATAACATAGAATTTACTGTTGTTTTTTCTTTATTAATATTTAATAAGAACTGCTTTGTGCGGAGTTTTTCTCCCCTACGGTACAAAAGTGATTCATTGTCTATGCGAATGCAGATCGTCTCGTTTTCTGCTTTGATTAAACTGTAAGCTGGCAACTCCAATTAACTCGTGACTATCAGTGTTGCCGTGAGAGAGAAATGAAAATAGCGTGACAATTATCATTGTGTTTTAATTATAAAACTTTTTTACGCAACGGGAGTAACAAAGAGATTGCTTTTGTTAATTGTTATATCTAAATTGCTTGCCTTAAATTATATTTTGTACTATCTTTGCCTGCGACTTCGTCTATGCGGAGTTAAAATAAAAATAAAAAAAGGTCTTGACAGACAGACGGACTGAGAACAAAGTGATCCTATAAGGGTTTCATTTTTTTTTCTTTCGAGGTACGGAACCCTAAAAACAATGAGTTAATGATGAGTTATGATAACATGTTTATTACATTTAAAATTAAATCCAAATGATTGATTAAAGCTGGTAGCATCCGAGAATGTATAACGAATATTTTTTCCTCTTTAGAGGTTTGTTCGAAACTCCTTAGGACTGTTTACTCCTTGGTATGCGAACTGCTCACTTTGTACAAGATTTTGCTCTTTACCAGAGGTAGAGGAGAATCTATAATGATGTAATTTTCCATAGTCGCACACGGCAGTCATTTTACTCGGCAATTTTATTGATTAGAAACGCTTTGGAAGACGTGCCATAAATCTTTATGAGGATGTATTGGCTGTCACAATGTTATTATTTAATGAGGAATGGAAAATCGCTAAATATGACTAATACTTCGTGTAACAACGACCAATGTTACCATGTAAATGGTAAAAATAAATTAAAAAAGCTAGCTTTTGATACTATGATCGTGTGTCGTGAGCTTATTAGTAAAAAAAACATAGAGACTAAACAAACTCGATTTTGAATAGATATTTAACTTCAGGCAGTCGCCCTAAACTGCGTCCGCGCGGAATTAAAAAAAACTTAATTAGTAGTATGTGTTCTTCCAGACCATGTTCTACATCTAAGCCAAATTTCAGCGAGATCCATTCAGTCATTCTGGATATACCTTCAAACAAACGTCCATCCGTCCACATAATTAGTAGCCTGTGTTCTTCCAGGCCATGTATATCTATGTTAAATTGGAGCGTGATATAGTAAGATGGAATCTTGCAGTTATTTCAAATCGCTACAATATTCGGCTAATTTAAAATGCTGTGAACTGTGAAGGTTTGCTATACGAGCAAATTGGCGATAATCAATACCGTCCGCCGGCTTCCGATTAACTAAATCACGTATGTTGTTATCGCTAGGTGCGTGTAGTTACCTAAATGTATAGTCATGAGATTTCAACGTACAATAGGTATAATAATAATATTAATAAAGCCTTTATTGCTGAAGATAATTAGTTTTACAAATTTTTATACATTTTATTTTAAGTTACATTAACAGTAATTAATCTTGAGTAACAAAAAAATAGTTTTGAACCGGCGACTGTTATCCTTAATCTACAGCTACAATAGGTATACATATTTTTAAATAAATATATTATTTTTATTTATAATTAGCAGTCAATAATTTAATTGTAATCCAATGACTAATTAAACACAGCAACAGAAAATTTCATATATGATAGATATTACGATAGTTCGCTTTTTGCGTTGTTTTCTGAAAATTGTGTTAAAAATATGGGATATGATAAAATTAGGGTAGTCATTGCTGTACAGTTATGTACTGAAAAGTATTTTTTCGAAGAATTTTTGAAATTTACGAAAATTAGCGAGCGAGTTTCGATAAATGTAGAGTCATAATGCACAGACGTTCATTTTTGTATCTTATATCAGTTGCTTGAAACTCGTCCTGGCCGAACTAAAAAAAAACGCTTGACTATTTGAAAAAAAATATAGCCTATAAAACCCACGGATAGTTTAGCTTCCCAACAGTGAAAGAATTTTTCAAATCGATTGTATAGTTTTGGAGACAATTGAGTATAAACAAATCTTTTCTCTTTATTACATTAGTATTGGTATGTGATTTCAGATTATTCGTTTTCTGGAAATAGTCTACCATTACTCAACATGTCGTGAAATGAAATTAATGTTGCCATATTAATTAATTACATGTTATTAACAACGTGCAACACATATTTCTTTCCCTCGTTTAAATATAAATTAAAATCGTGGCTTATGCATAAATCTTGTTATAATATTAAACCCAAAAACTATTAGACCAACCATAATTATATAATCTTTAGAATGCTATATTGTTTCTGATTAACATAGTAATTATTGTTGTAAATTAAAAAAAACTTATAGTGAGAAGCCAAAACTGGCCACTAGTCTGGATGTTTTTCCTACCACGGATCTAGATGAAATTTAGAACAGATAAATAATAATTTGAAATAACGTGTAGGATACTGTTTTTTTAATTCGACTGTGATAAAGTCTCGGGTAATTTATCGATAATCGTGTTATATCGATATATTATCGAACATCTCTAGTTTGTATTGGGGTCAAATGGGACGCGGTTGTCAGGCGCTGAGCTGACACACTGCCACTCAATTGTAGCACATTGGACGGTACTCTAGTTTCTTTTGTGTCCAATCGATATTTACTTTGTATACGATGTCTCTTTATGACGCTAACTTTGCTGTTCCTTTATGTGATTCAAGTGTAGCTTCTTTTTAGTATTTTGCTAACTAAAACAAAACATGAAGTCTACCAAAGACTTCTTGTTTTGTTTTAGTTTGCATATTTTCGTTTTCTTGGTGAGCAAAGTTGAAAAAATATTAAAAAGTCACATAACATTTTTGCAATAAATTATTTTTAAATAACAAAGCGAGGAAAGAAATATAAACATGTATAAGAAAGCTCTGCGTGGATTTATATTTAGAATGAATGTTACCACATTTAACTTGGCACTAGTTTCAATGAACAACCGTTTAATTTGTAACTGACGATCTATTTTATGTATAAAAGTGGCACAGTTGATGAATGGAGTTAGCGAGGTTCAGGCTAAGCGCCATCTGCGCTCTGCCACCTCAAGTCCGGTGAAGCTGTAAATGCCTCCTCAAGGCAAACAGTGACTACTCAGTCACAAAAAAAAAAAAAATGGAGTTAGGTTAAATCTAATCTTTTGTTTTTTGAACTTAAGGATACTGTATTGGTATACTTCTTTACCGTATGCATAATGAATTACCAGAGAAGCGAAAAAATGATTTATCTCCTTACATTAGAGTATATTTTCGTTTATTTGAAGGTTTTTACGAATCCCTGTGTCGCAGTAATTTGTTACCCCACCTTTCTTAGTGTCAGTGTATCGTTATATCGTTGTTTACGTCTTGTAATATTGAAGAAAGTAGTGGACTATTCTTTCTTGTTAATAAACACGATGTTACTTCTTTAAACGTCTTATCGTATTTCAGTGTTGAGGATGCTACTTTTCTCCAGTTTATTGGATGTTTCGTATTGTAATCGAGAGATTTCTGTGTGTATTTTGGTGATTGTTAGTCGATTTCTTTTATTACACGTCCATCTTTGTTATATCTTTTCATATAATTATTGGTTCAATAGATTTTGATATATTAGTACTTATTTTCTTATTTAATGGTCTCTTGTATTGATGGACTTTAAGATCAATCAATTCGCAATCGAAGTATTTTATGTCAAGTTCATATTATTTTAGCCAATACTCTTTTCTATATTAGTCGTTCATTTAACATCACGATTAAAACAAGCACGTTTAAGTATAAATTCGAAAAAATACTAGATAACATCATCAGAACTATTCTATCTTTGATATAATCTTCAGCATCCATGTGTAGATGTAGCTACTTCTAATTAATAATGAATGCATGGCAATAAATAAACGCAATAAATGATGCCGTTTTGTTCTCGTTTTGATGTAATAAAATATAAAGGTCGTATTTCGATTTGATTTCACGGATAAATTTGCGATATATATTGGCCAATGTTCATAGAATCATATAAAACTGCTGTGAATACTGACACAAATTCATTCTCGAAATAAACTATTCAAAATTGCTCTTCAATTTACATCATAAATACGTCGTGGGTAGGGTTGCCAGATTTTAAATATCGATATCGATATAATTATTTTTTCCAAGCGTATATGTTTCGAGATATTTTACTCGATAGCTTTTGGTATTGATCTGACAACCCTATGTGCGCATGAAAAGCACAATATTTAACTATGTGGTTCACCGCGTACACAACAAAATGTGTGGTATGGTATAAAATTGTTACTATTTTTACTTATTACCCTAACGTTATCAAAAATAAATATTTTGTTAACAATTGTAACTAAATGAAAAAGTTTTAAACACCAAGAATTACTAGAAGTTAAGCCAAAGTGTTATTATTAATTTCGGTATCAAAATGTTTCTTTTTTTTATCCCAAACCACAAACACACTCAAACCTTACTCATAAACAACATAAATAGGTTGATCAAACGAAACTATTCGACCTGGTGATATTTTATTTACTTATCTACATTCTTTATTTTCTAAATTGATCCTTATAACCATTATCGTATAAAATAAAGAAGAGTACAGTCCTTGGCTTTTATATTGATGTATATAAAAAATATATAAGAAATATCCACTAGTATAATAAATATTCTTGATCGTTGGTTATGTGATAAAAGCTATAGGACCGTACTCAACTGACAATAGCAGAAAGTAACTTATGTTTTGGTCTGCAGCAGTGGAGCCGACGTACCACTTCAAGGTGTTGGTGCCGTCGATGGTGGCTGGTGCCATCATCGGCAAGGGTGGTGAGACCATCGCCCAGCTGCAGAAGGATACCGGCGCGAGGGTCAAGATGTCCAAGTCTCATGACTTCTATCCAGGTTAGTTGCTTTTGTTTGCTCAGGAAACTCGTTATGTATACTGGAATAAATATCACTTATATTTGAATTGAGGGCACAAATAATTCTTGATATATTTCAACGAAAATTACACAGTTTTCCAGAGCACGTAATGGCAATACTTGTAAAAGTAAACGACTTTTTAACAAACTATTGTTGAACGAAAAGAATTATGGGGAACAATAGTGGTAACGTAAATACATCCCCGCGCTTCACTACACCGCCGTCGGCCGTAATTGTCGCTTTTGTCGAAATCCGTTGAGAATATTAAAAAAGAAAGCTCGAAGAATAATACAAGAGATTCATAATTTCGCTATTCTCTAGGCCATTGTAATGACTGCGGCTTCAAAACTTGCCGTGGACTTGAATTGAAGTGGTGAATTATTGCGGACACGCTGCCGTATCTGGACGGGGCATGCGTTGACCCACTTGTGTCAGGATTTAGCGCACCAGCCGACCCAAGAAGCGCTTTGTTCGCAGACCTAGTTACGGGCGGGGCGGCTGTCTGCGCGGCTTTTTGCCCGCTCGCTCTAGTTTCACTTCCAGCTACTCGTAACCCGGCTACGAGGGGCTGGGGGCTGCGAGCGTTTACTCTTAATTTTGTGTCGGGGGTTTCGTTTGGTTTACTTTAAGTACGACGACTTGACTACTATCGAGACACGAGATATTGTTCTCTTTGGAAATAGGCCGATGGCTTTTGTTGTTTTTACAATTTAACTTATTCTTTTGAATGTTATTTTAGTATTTTTATGAACGAACGAACTAAGTAAACAGTTAATTTAACAGATTGCCAATTGTTTTTAAGAAAATAATAAAAACAATAACAATTTTATCATTTAAAAAAATATAGATTGTTTTTGTTAACACAGTAATTACTCGTGGGTGCTTGAAACTGCATTCGCTAACATTGCGATTACAAACTGCACGACGTCGATAAAAACCCGCCAACAATGGCGGCCGTGGCCTTGCAGTGTGGCGTGCTGTGCTCATTGTAGCCTAATGAAAGAAAATTATTTTACTTCCTTGCCATTGTCTTGTCAGCCTCTTCCAATTGGTATAAGTTTTCTTCGAAATCTCACGGTCAATGTCAGATTGTTTTAATCCATTGTCACATGTGGTGATACAGTTATTATTGTTTTCTGAGATATTGAAAGAAAATATGTAAAACATGAATTAACATTTGGTTAAGATGGTGTTGCAAGGCCACAAATTATGATGTGCGCTAGGAAAATGACTCTATACAGGGTGTCCCAGAAGGTGTAAAATTTTTAAGTTTTTAAAAAATGCCATTTATTTTATTTAATACCCACAGGGAAATTTTTATTTTATTTTTCTGGTGACCCTTGTGACCACCCCTATCATCCCCCTTCCTATGTACGTAACCTTTTGGGACATCCTGTATAGTCTTAGCACAGAGAAAGGTATCCTTTAACGCTAACGTTTATTCTTGATAGTAATTTTACTCTTTTCATGAGTATTATTGTAGTCGAATAGATAAGCAATTCACAAGTTTACTTCGCTAGTGTACCCAAATTCACTGGTTAAAGTTTAGTCTTAGACAGTTCTGTGTTAACACTAGGAACTACCGCAAGATTGTATAATGCAATTCAAAGTTTATTGCAGCTTGAGATTTCCAGTTTTTTTCACCCGCAGTGCCGTAGACATGCGTTTCGAGTTAACCAAGAGCTTTTATAAAGTTTGAATGTTATAATACACGAGTGTCGGATCTCGCCAACTGTACCGCATTGCGGCACAACTCGTCGGTTCGAATATTTTCCCTGCAGAACGGAGCGCGTCTTTTCACGCTACCCCGCGTCAGTTACGACTGTTTACCGCTTATCCCCATTTGCTGCTATACTAAGATATTTTTTTTATCTCATATATGGGAACCTTGGGGTTAATTTTATATTACTAATGACGCAGTAGGATTTGTTTTTCTTACTTTTTATTGTGATATTTTTTATACGAATGTTTCGACTGTGGAAACCCACCATTTTGTGTTTAAAATATCAGTTTTCTACGTATCAATACGATTAGAATCTTATTCTTAATGCATTATGAGGAAGTTACTATGTCGCGTGCAAAAACCTTTACAAATTCGTCATAAATGTACACATTTAAAAATAGAGGAATTTTAAACGAAACTTTAAAATTATCTTTAAAGCTTTTAATTTTCATAGCGTTAAATTTTTTCGCACTTCTAACAAAAATATTTAAAATGGAGTAGAAAGAATTTGACGGTAAATATTTTAAGGACACAAAGCATAAAGAGCTACATTTTTGTAGCGTATTTTCCTTTCTTTAATTCACGAAAAGGTTTAACCTTTTAAGTTAATTATGACCTTTAATATTGAAGCTTTTAAAACAAATATAGTCACAAGGATTAAATTTCACCTATCAATTTGATGAAATGTCAAAGAGTAATCCGCAAAACATAGATTATAAAACTGAACGATGCGTCTTTATTCAACTAGACGTGAAAGTTTTTTTTTAAACAACACTGGCCTTATACAGTTAAATGCATCAACATTTTATATTGCATAGTGCATTCAGCCACCGCTATAAAGCTGGCGATATTTCAGCCGTTCCGGTTTTTTCCTCCACATAAATAATAGAGCATTCACATTCAGCCAGATATTGTTTATTGTTTGGCAGCGCTCGGGCATACTCGAGGCGAAGTCCTCTCATTACTGAGCCCTAGTGACACTGTTATTTAGCTTGATCTTTTTTTATTTCAACATTATGTCACGTCAGTTAAAAATAAAAAGTCGCAAACATTTTTTTTATTTTAATCGCATCGTGAATACTGTACGCATTGTAGTACTTTGAGGGTTATTTAATCGCTTAGGGTAGCCCATAGTATACGTCCCGCGTACACCAAAGAACAACACTTAAAGACTGCAGGAGTTACCGTGGGTTTCCGGGGTCAAAATCCCCGTTTAGACCTTATTGTTATCTCTATTTTGTCAAAGATAAAACTGTCACTTTCATCTCATTATCCCTGTGGATGACGATATGCTTAATAGATAATTTGATCTCAGAAACCCACGGTTAGTGTTTATTTTTGAGGCATAGATAATATGTAAGCTTGCATCAACGATAAATTTTTGTTACAACTATGTTAGGTGTGTCAAGGTCTCGAACGTGAGACCTTTTGATTTACACAACCAGTTAGATCGCCGAGATCCGAGTGCTCGCTCTCGTGTTTCGTAATGGAGGTTCTAATTGAGACAATGATGTCATCTGCCTACGTCCTTGGGTGGGAAATTTATCTGTAAGGTTTGAAAGTGAAAGTTACTGACGCTAGATGCATATATGAGCGTCTGTTTTGCCTGAATTTTGTACGCAAGGATTATTACTGGCAAATATTTACCTGCCCATTGGAAAGTGGTTATAAATAAACGACAGTTGACAGGTCGAGTCCGCCCCATGACGTCATATGCGTCTTGTGGCTTGGAGTGCATTGTTTATTGGCACACATCACGGTTCGCTGACGCATTGCGACAAAAAAAATATAGCCCGGTCTTCTAATTACCTTGCCCAGCGCGAGCTAATGAGGATGGGGTATAATGGCTTATTGTTGCGGATGGGGCGCGCCGGGAAATGTGCGCTTATGCACAAATTAGGCGCGTTAAATTGCCCCCGAATTGGGTCGAATAACGCGAGCGATTTACTCTCCAATGTATTGCGTACAAACATTGCGAGCGAAATGCTGTTTGATTTGCAAAATGAATTTTAATTTTGAATTAATTGTTTACGTGCTACGAATATAAGGAATTATTTTGGAATTTAGTAAAGTTAATTTGGTACTTTAATATACAGTAAAAGATATTGATATTTAGGCTAATAAAGAAACTCAGACATCGTTACTTTCCTGGTCCCTACGGTTTCCTATGTTCTTCTTTGTCTTCAAATAAGTGGCTAGCCACAGCATAAGTTTTACTGATGTAACTTCTTGCCTGATTCTTCTTCTTCTGTTGACGTCGTCTCCAATTTCTAAAAATAAAATTCGTATTATGTCAATAAAGTTAAACGAGCCGATGGTGAAATGTGTACTTTAATTATTTTATAACAATTAGCTCGTTTGAATTTCATCAATTAGCATAATAAAGTAATTAGTGCCTTTGGAGCGGTTCGTGTTACGCAACACGGCCCCGTTATCAGCGAGGTTATTTTTATTATAACACCGATAAAGCTCGCTCCCCCCCTTTTTAATTGTTAACGAATTAACAAGCGTACAAGTTAATTACACGTGTTTGTTAAATGGTTTTTGAAATATGGATGCGTTCAAAAATTTAACCTTTTAAACTCTCCGCCGTATTTGACAATTGCAATTAGGTCCTAAAGGTCCTTAGTAATTTTGTCATGCTTAATCTATGGTCAGATTTTATTTGATAAATTATATTTTTATGTCAAAGAGTATGATTTTGTTTCTTTGATGTGCAACCTCCTTTACACTTATTAAATTATTACTCCAGTTCAAGTGTTCCATCATTGTGGAAACTAAATTACTAAAAGGGTTAAAGACGTGTCTTGAACGAGTTGACAATAATCTCATTGACTATGTATACTCAAGGACCGACCGGTATGGAACGTGTTGAATAATAGGGTTGCCACCGGCTTGCGGAAGGTTAATTTATTTTTAAACAAGCTTTTTAATGTCACTGTCTATCAGCCCTATCAGCCCACTCGAGTCGCGTAATGGTTACTTAGCTTGGCAATATAATGCAGTTTTTTTTTATTATAAGGGGACAAATAAGAAGTGGCATCCTTAGCGTTAATAGATTACATTCGCAACATCTTGCCTTGCCGTGTTTCCTTTACCTACATTAGTATTCGTTTGTGTCTGACACCTTGATCACCGTTTAAATTATTGATCTCTATTTTGTCAACGATAATGAGTGGGATGTCGATATGTTATACAGGGTTTTTTGTATTAGAAAACAACATCTTTTTAATTATCGTAATGGCTTTTCGTTTTG